CTATATATATATAGATATATATTTCTCCAAGAAAAATGAAAATATGTCCACACAAAAACTTGTACACAATATTCATAGCAACATTACATATAACAGACAAATGGTGGAAACAATCTATATGGCCATCAACAGATGATGGGTAAATAGAACATGCTATGTCCATACATGAAAGAAATGAAGCATCAATAATGCTGTAACCTGAAGGAAACTTGCAGATACTATTCTAAGATAAAGTCAATCAAAAAGGCTCACATACTGGAGATTAATATGAAATGTTCAAAATAGACAAATCTGTAGATGAGTGGTTGGGGAAGGGACGGGTGGGAGGATTAAAGGGAACGGGGAGTAACTTAATGGGCAGTTTCCTTTTGGAGAGAACATGTTATAAAATTGATGGTGGTGATGGGTTGGCATAACTCTCAATATACCAAACCAACATAAGTACACTTTAAATGGGTGAATTGTAAGGTATGTGAATTATATAAAGCTATTCTATGAAAATTATATTAAAAGCTATTATATAAAAAAATTATATAAAGCTATTTTAAAAAGTGGGAGAGGCTAGGTAATTTCCAACATACACCTGAATTAGTTGCAAATCTGATCATCTCATCAGGGTTTGGATGATCATCTTATCATCTAAACACTTAATAATGAAATACTAAGTATTGCACAGACTTTTGTCAACTACAGCCAAACCACGTATCTTTTAGTAAAATGCAGGACAAAGCTGACCACAATCTCCAACCTTTCCACCACATCCCACAATGATTATACCAGCTGATTAGACACTTCCAAAGCAAAAGCTTAAACTCATTTTAAATATATAATGGGCTTAGCAATGGTATTCTTTTCCCCTATTTTTTTGCTTAACTTCGTTAATTCTGAGGGTGGGGTTGGGGGAAGAACGTTTAAAATATTGTAAGAGGAGGGAATAAATTGGTTCACGTTCCACCATAACATGTTACAAAGCAACAAGGATTCGTTCACTCTTTGGCCAAAACCGACAAAAAGGAGGAATGGTAAAATTGACAATTTCTAATATTCGGTGCGAGGCCTCAGTGACCTAAATATCTTTTTTATTTAGCTGAGGAAAACAATCAATCTGCCCACGATCTAGGTGGGAGGAAATTCTAGGTGCGACGTTCAGGCGGGGTCCGAGCGGGCC